CCTGTGTGAGTGGTTGTTGTTGTTGTTGTTGCGGTTGGATTATTTTACTTGATTACTAGTTAAGATTTTTTTGCCTCCGTTTTATGCAGGCTTCGTAGTGGACTGACTTGACCATGTAGTACACTCCTGCTGCTTGTCTGTGTGCCCGACGTTTTTCTGTTTCATCCTCAGTGTAACAAAGCGAACCCATCTCTTTTCACGGATGGGGGAGTCTAGGATCATTTTTTTTTTTATGGCCACGATTCGTCATTCCCTCCCCGCCGGCAAAACACGAAAACCCAGGCCATCACGACCATATATTTGCTGGAATAATTATCTTTGTACGTTCCACGCCCCTCCCCCCCCCATCATCGGCTTGCTCTGTTCCATCTCCTGCCGCGCTTCATAAATCCTGTGCGCAGTCTTGCCACAAACTTTGAAAGTCACAATCGATCACGTGCAGTGAGCACGCAAGCACACACATGCATTCATGCGTCTGTCTCCAATCACTACTGAAAGAAATCTCTTGAAACCACGACCGACCCCGTGCGTGTGTGTGTCCCGCCCGCCCTCCCCGATTTTTTCAACCGCGCGCAACAAAAATCGACTGCCTGCCGCCGCCGCCGGCGTCGTTCACACAGACGCGGAGAGCGAAGGGTGCTTTACCTTGACCGACCTCTACAACTTCCGCGGCACCGAGAAGGACGGGTCGTCCAAGGGCCCCCTCTACATGCTGGACGACTCCGGCAACAAGATTACGTCTCCGACGTCCGTCACCAAGAAGTGGCTCTTGGAGTCGGAGCTTTACGTTACGGACGGGGCGATCTTCTACTGCATCGGGAGCGAGGAGGGAGGCGACTGCGACGAGCTCCGCATCCAGTCGACCGGTCCGGACGACTGGTACGAGGTAAGGGCACGCTTCTCGCGGACACGCGTCATATGGCACAGCGGAAGCTGATAAGTAGCACGCAGACACGCGCGCCACAGGAAAGCCGCTCAAGAATAATAATAGTGGTACTGTTGGTGACGAGCGTGGGAGAGTACTCCCAGGGAGAATCATGAAAACACTCCGAAACCAAGGCGTGTGCAAAGTAGCGGCCATAGCAGACACATGCAGCTAGTTTTCCTTTGTGGCTACCGTTTCTGTCTGAATCCGGAGAGTCGCTTGGCCGCCCCCCATGGCGCCCCCGCGCGGGGCCCCAGATTATAGTCTAGCCTTTACAAGAGTTTTCTTTTTCCAACCTTTATTGAGACGACTTAAGTCTCTTCATTGGTCGGCCGGTTAGCGCTGTCCATGTCGTCAATGACAAAGATGCACACACACACTAATGGTATTTCGAAGTGTTTTGTGTTTACAACCGCCCTTCTGAGACTTGACGTCTTTTCGCTGGTCAGCCGCTGGTTAGCGCGGTCGATGCTAATGGTAATAAACACACACACACACACACACTACATACCATTTACAATATGCTATTTGTGCGTGTTTTTTTATTTCACGCCGCCGGTCCCCGGTGTGTTCCTTTCCCCGACCGAAAGGTGCGCGGGCACGGCGGCAGCATGTACTTCAGCCACACCGTGGTCACGTCCTGGGACACCCCGAACAAGAAGCCGCAGGAGACCTACGAGGGCGGCCGGTCCTTCCTCAACTGCGTGTCCGAGAAGCTCACAGGGGAGACGTGCGACGGCAAGGCTAAGAACGACGAGGGGGAGTGCCGCATGGACATCATCAACTCCGAGATGGGCTACATGGGCTTCTTCGACGCGGAGTCGTACGGCCTCACCTGGAAGGTGCGGCGGGCGGCAGGCAGGACGCGGTGTTGGTATGTAGCACAGCAGCAGCCATGGCTCCGTTACGTGAGGGTACCTTAGAAGAGGGGGGCTCTGGTGTGTGTGGGGGTCGGGGGTGTTTGTCACACCACCCTCTCATATCAGAGCCACGACTGCTGTACCGCCACCCCTCGTGGTGTTGTACGCCCCGCCGCTTGAGAACCCCGGGAGCTAAGAAAATTCGTCCTCAAGGAGAGATGAATGAAGGCGCCCGCGTCAGTTGGACTAGTATGTATGATAGAAGGCACTCTGGGCGGAGACCTGAACGGTTTATAACGTTAAGACAACAACTAGGATAACGGGTGTTCAGTGAAAGCATCCTACACTTGAAACCTATGTAGCCGATATGTCGGGGTTTCCCCCACAGCGAAAACAGGAAACAAGCCTGGGGCCAAAGTACGAGGTTATGGAGTGGTGGGGCCTTCTGCACACGTACGTACGGCATCGACTCGACGAAACGGTCAAGGGGGAAGAAGCCAGGCTTGCCCCCAGTACTATTCAACGGCCGCCGGACCCAATCGAATTGTCGTCAATACTGCCAAAGAGCATACCCGCCCACCCCTCCCAGCACTGCTGGTTGGTCCTTGTGCCCACAACGACGGGTACCGGTAGCTTCCTGTGCTCTGCCAGGGGCTGGTGCTCGGCAGTGGAGGCTGCATCGCGCCTGATCCTTTGTCTTGATGTCTTGACCCCATCAGAACATGGCGTTCGCTTTTTCCTTCGTCTTGAAACAACAGGTCCGCGGTTTCTGCAAGGACCTGTCCAACCCCGACGTGTTCGAGACCACCAACGTCTACGGAGATATCAAGAACTCCAACATCCACCACATGTACTACGGCATGTACAGCTACGGCCACCAGGGGGGCGTGTGGACCAACAACGAGATGCACGACAACCACCAGTACGGTGAGACGGCAAGCTCTGCGAACAACAAGTCGGGCTACGAAATGACGAGGGGGCGTACATGCGCTGCTGTTGTTTGTCCAGAAGCTGAAATAATAAGTCGTTTCTGACCTGCCCAGAAGCTGGCTTAATAGACGCTGTGTTGTTCTCTCCCATCCATATGAAAAATTCGCGTCTGACATGCCAACAGCAGTAGTAGTAGGCTGCACGCAGAGGCGAGCCCTTGCGGGTTCGTCGAGTTTCGATCACACGGCTCGTGGAACGCGTGCTTTTGCGGGCCTTGTAACTACCGCGTGTGCACCAATCCTGAGAACGATTCGTATCATGAACGAACGAACGCCGACGACGGCTGTTTTGACCCGTTGGGACGGCCGTGGTTGCAATTTTCGAATCCCGCTTGCCACGGCCCCTGCCTGTACTAAATAAAGATTCTCCCGTCCTCCTCGCCGTCCCTCCGTCTGTCTGCCCTGTTCGCCATCGCCCTCTCGCATGGGACTCGGACACCAGGATTTGACCCCCACGACGACTCCGACTACCTCACGAGTGAGTCGTTGTCGTTGTCGTTGTTGGCAGTGTCTTCTTGACAATGGAAACCGTTCCGGTCTGCGCTCAGTACCCTCTATCACCATCCGTCTGGTCCAGATTTTATGCACGGACAAAAATGGCCTGACTGCTACGACTATAATAGCTTAGAATACTCTTCGCGAAAACCTCACGACTGCAAAGTGCGAAGGCTGCCACAATAATAGGTCGCATTCACGAGAAGAACGCTTTGTACCCTCATCCGCGTCGCCATTAAACGTTTTTTTTTGCTGATCGCACGGTAATCCACCCATTACTTGTCCTATCCTGCCCCGATTCCTTTGCTGTCTGTTCTGCGCCACCGCAGTCGCCAACAACAAGGTCTACAACAACCACAACCACGGTAAGTCCGCAAGCGTTGCTGTCGTCCTTGTTTGTCCTTTTTTTTTCACCTGATGGTACGAAAAGCCACTCGATCGAGTCGTCGTGTTGCTGATTGATTGATGATGCGGGAAGAAGAGTAAGTGTGGCCCATCACAACGAAGCCAAGATATCTGCTCCTCCTCCTGCTGTTGTTGTCTTCGAAATTACACGCTGGCTATCTTTCTTCATGACTTCCGAGGGCGTTCAGTGTTCATTAATCTACCCTCCGCGCTTCGCGTGCCCTAAAAACTATTTCCAGTCTCGTAGTGTTTACGGTCCTTGGTGAACCGCTTTCCTTGTTTGTCGCGACCGGGAACAATCAATCGTCGATCCCAAGCAGACCAATTCCTCTCTTTTTCGGGCACTCGCACGTACGTAAACTCTTCCGCATGGACCCAAAACTCCTTCCAATGACGTCATTCGCAGGTATCATCGCCTCCAAGCGCTGCAACAACGTTCAGATCTACAACAACGAGGTCTCGGACGGCGGGCCTGAAGCCGTAGGCATTTTCCTCCACCGCAGCTCCGACAACGCGGAGGTGTACGGTAAGAAAAGCGAAACACGTCTGTCTATCTTCAGCGCCGCCAGTAACCGAGATTTGCCAGGAAGCAGAAAGAAATATGTTTCTGTGCGTAGCCACCGGCAGCTGTTGGTTTCAGAATGTCGACGAGGCTATTGACGGTCAAGGGCGACAAGCCACAAGGCGGTATGTAAGGGGGCACAGTAGAAGAAAGCGTTATCCGTTTCTACTTGTGCAGCAACGACCGTAGCTCCAACCCCCCCCCCCCCGTCTCCCAGACCAACAATACCGAGCATCGACGCTAGGGGGAGACCGGGGGTGGTGCAAGTAGCACGGCCCGCAGCCCACAGACTCGTTGGCCGATCAACGGCGGTGGCAATGCTCAGTAGTATCACACATCGACGAAGGGTCACAAACTTGGCGTGGCTCTTGTGTGTACGGCGTTTCGTGTGCTGCTGCTGCAGACAACAAGATCTGGAACATGCCGGACGCAGGTATTGCCTTGCTCGAGTCGTTTAACGCGGTCATCCACGACAACGACATCGACGGCGTTCAGTTCGGCATTCGCATGAGCTTGGGCTCGGGCAGCAACAGCGTGTACGACAACGAGTTCAACGACTGTTCCGACTGTAAGCGCGACTTGCAGGGCGACCTCGTTCGGGTTGTAAACGAAGAGTGAACGAAAGCGGAAGAGGAAGAGTGAATGAAAGCGGAAGGAGCAAAGTGCTCAGATCTACAGACATCGTTATTTTTCTCAGAATGTAGGAACAGAAAACAGACAGCCGCTCACGTTGGCTATACCGAGGTGTCGTCATGCGCCGACCAAGCCTACAGTATATGTCAAAAGGTAGAAGCGGGTTGTTGCCATGAAGCATGCGCGCTGGCCAGAACTTACCGCGAATCACCGAGACGTTCTTCATGCCCACCTGTGTCGCGTGTCGCGCCGCCTTTTGTGTGGCTATTTGTGTTTCTCCCCCGTCTGCCCCACCAGGGGGGCTGTACACTTATAGGGGGTCTGATGCACCGGATGTAAGCAACGGTCGCCCGAACGGCAACACGTTCAACAACAACAAGATCACCAACACCGCGGGCGGTGTCAAGATCAAGAACTCGGACAACATCGTCATTTCCAGTGAGTGCTGATATTCTCACTGATTCGTTGTTGCTGGTAGAACAATATTAGTACCGTCGTTTTTGGCGTTCGTTGTCGTACATACTGGGGCGCGCTCTTATTGCTACGAGTGGCGTCTCTCTCTGCTTGAAAAGAGTTTCGCCCCGCCTTCCTTGACCACGGCCACGATCGATCCTGGTATATGTAGATTGCTACACATACCACTTCGGGCTAGACAAAATCTGTCGTGTGTACACACACACGCACGCATCGTTCCCAAAGTGTCTTGACAACTGTCCAGTTTTCCCCTCCGCCCGCCGAACGGCTCACTAAATCGAATGCAAAATGTCCATGCAGACAACGACTTCACTGGCACCGAAGAGCTGGAGTTCTTCGACGCCCAGGCCACGACGTGGTCGGACAACAGCCTCCCCTCGGGCGTGTGCATCGACAACGTTACCTCCGACGACGGGAACAGCGTGCCTCCGAGCACCTTCTCCTCATCCAGCGGGGTTCCTTCGGAGGAGTGCTAAATATGATGTTGCTGCCCAGATGCGAACACAACAGACAGTGAGTCGCGGCCGGCCGCCTCGATGCAAGCGCTCCCGAGCGGCACCACTCCGGAGGTCGCGGTCTCGTGTTTTTCCTCTCTCTCTCTCTTTGCGCTCGCGGGCGGAGAAGAGTTTTTCTTTTTTTGACTACTTCCGTTGCGAAACGAAAGTATAGACCCCACGAAGACTCGGCCGACTATTTTGACGGTGGCCCTTCCTCTGGACACAAGCAAGCGTGGTGTGCTCGGAAGCCGGTAGCCGGTTGAGAAACTCGAATTTTGCAGTTAATTGCGCGCCGGCTTGCTTGGACGTCGCCTAGGTGTTTTTGCCCGCACGTCTGTCTCAGTTTTCATTCGGCCCGGCTATTCTTGTCCCGTATAAACGGCGGTGCAGGTTACGAAGGAGGAGTTGGGAGCAGTCTTTGCCCCTACGTCCCTCTGTGTCTGCAAGCTGGTAATTTTAAGCGGTGCGTGTGTGGTCGGCTTCTATCATTTGATACGAATTACGGAATGGTGAGAAAATATTCGGTTGGTTGGTATTGCCAACAGTTTCTTGCACAAGGGGGGATGAGAGGCAGTTCACTGCCGACAATAGCACCAGCTGTGGTACCGCATTGTTCATACGACGTTGCGGTCGCCTACTCCCTCTGTGCTGTGGTTCATTGAGCGTGCTAACATAACACACATATTGAATGGTCGTTACCGGTGGTCAACGAGGGGGGAGGATTACGTTGTACGATTAGTTTTTCAAGATGGCGTGATACTTTGATGTCTGCTTGTTTAAAGGTTAATCTACCTGGTCTCCTGTTGCATGTCCTAGGTTGCTGTAGGTGTTCTGGATGTGACTGGTCGTCGTCAGTTCAAGTTTTCGTTCCACCCTTCGCGTGGGACGCTAGAGTGAGGTAGGGGCGCGCGTTCATCGGCGAGGAGGGCTGGCGAAAAGATTCGTCTTGGTTGCTGGTGCTCTCTATCTAGTTTGTTTGGCTCAGCTGACGAGAAAGTCAGGGGTCAGCATGTAGCGTACAAGGGCATGGGGCATGAATATTGTCTTTCAGCAATTTGAACATATTAATGTTTTCATTATTTCCCACCCATGCTGTTGACGGGGGCTATACCTTACCAGCAAATAGTGTTTTTCGGGCGACAATGTTGTTGGCGTTGCGTTTGTTTTGAGCATAGCCTAAGACTTGGGCGACCAAGTTCTGGGAGCTGAATCGTTTTGACTCACCCTTTCGAGTCCAACGAGCAGCACAACCAAACCATGGATAACCCTGGCGGAGGCAGTAGAAATGATTCCCACATGTGTGTGCTGTGCCTCCCCCGGTGTACGAGAGCATTGTTATCCCTCGTGCACGGACTGCACGGTAGCAGCTTGTTTTGCCTGCGTGTTCTTGCAACACACGTTCGTTTTTTTCAAGTTTTCCGCCCTTAATGAGGGGGGTTGTTTTTCCAGTCCGTGTTTTGTTTTTTCCATCCGCCCGTTGCTCGTCTTGGCGAGGTTTTCCAATTAAGTGCACGGCGCGCTCACTCCTAAAATTTGTGTCGTTTCTCCCATCCCTTAGAAGGGATGAATGGTTCCGTTGCTCGTCTTGGCGAGGTTTTCCAATTAAGTACACGGCGCGCTCACTCCTAAAATTTGTGTCGTTTCTCCCATCCCTTAGAAGGGATGAATGGTTCCATTCTTGTGGCACGTGTGGTAAAACGCACCTTGTCAAGGATTGTTTTTGGTGGTACCTCTACGCTATGTTTTAGAGAGGGGGGTGAGTGGGAGAAATGTACGGCTATCCCGAGGCAGGGAAGCTGTCCTGAGCTAGGTAGGTCTTGGGGGGAAAACGATGCCACCAAAAGAATGTAAATGTATGAAACGTTCCATTGTAGCAAGCAGCGATGTTTGCGCGTTGTTAGAAGTCAACAAGGGCAACAAACTTCAAACTCCCTGTGTGATGAATCCGACCGGGCGGCCAGCGGTCGTCTTGTCCATTAGCCTGGCCAGGATGTTTTCGTTGCACGGCAGAGGAGAGGCAATGCGCGCAAATAGCCTAGGCTCGGAAGCACACTGGTGTCTGCACAACAACAACCTTCTCTGCTGCAGCGTGTTCCGAGCCCGCCGCCCAGCCAACGCCTTTGCAGCAGCATCAGCGGTAGGTGGCTCTGCTACTTACTGTCGACGGGGGGCAGGCACGGGAAAAAAACACAACGCGAGGAGGCTCGTGCAAAAACGAAAGTTTGCCTTTCCCTCCCCCTCCACCTCGGATGGCAAGAAAACTAGTGTGACCGAGTAGTTGTACTTGTAGCGGTACGAGAGACCGGTCGGTGCGTCCGTGAACTATGCACCGGAATAATCAATCGATGATGGTTTGTTCCGGATCCATCCACGATAGAAGACACGCCCCTCCTCATGAGACCGACCAAAACGAGACAAGACCGTTTTCTTGATGGGAGCACGCGACGGATGTCCGCCCGGCGAACAGAGAGGGTGGAACGTTCCGCACAACTGGGTGCCAACGGACCTCCAACCTGGCTTTCAAAAAAAAAAAAAATCGGGGCACAACCAACACCCGGCGAGAAATATACTGATCACCCGGACGCCTCCTCGTAAAACCGCCTTCAATTATTTGGGAACGTCAACTGTGGATGGACTCAACCTCGATGCATTCTACACGTGATGTCATGCGGGGGAGAAACGAAAAACAAAGACATATTTCGGCCTGGGTATGCATACAAACGCGAGAGGGAGAGAGAGGCCGTTGGCACGTATCATCAGACTTCACAACCCCCAACTTTCTTGTCTTTTAGTGCAGACAGCCGTGACAAATGAACAAGAACCCAAGATACGCTACATATATCAACAGCGAACCCCGCCGGACTCACGTCGTCAACAACAAAACCGCCAACAACACAAAGAGACCGATCCCACCAAAGCCGCCATACGGCGGTTGCTAGGCCAAAAAAAAAAAAAGGGACCGGCGAGCAGCTGCTGCAAAGCCGCTATTGAGCGGCAGACGCCGAAAGGGTGTGAGCAGCAGCAACAGCAGCAGCAGCAGCAGCAGCAGCAGCAACGATTTCGAGCAAACACCCACACACGACAGGGACTACAAACAAGAAGACGGCAAACACGCGGATCCGGTGGCACGACCCTGCCACACACGCGGACAAACCCAGACGAACCCCCATGACACAAACAAAACAACGACAATCCAGACAGACACCGAGAATTCGGAGGACCTCTCGGCTTCTAGTATGTACGTATGACATAATGCGGCAAGGTCATCGGGGCACACCAGCCTCGCCGGCCGCAGCTGCAGCCGCAGCAGCGGCGTCTGCAGCGCCAGCGTCACCCGCTTTCTCGTCCTCGGTCTCCCACCGCCATGGCTGCGGCGCCTGCAGCCCCATTGTCACCCGCTTTCTCGTCCTCGGTCTCCACCACCATGGCAGCACCGGCGCCAGAATCAACCTCACCTTCACCATCACCATCAGCAGCGGCAGCGGCAACAGCAACACCTCCAGCTCCAGCTCCAGCTCCAGCACCACCGGGTCGACGGCGTCTCCGTTCCTGAAAAAATAAATAAATAAATAAACATCAACATCAACACCACTATAAACCAACAACAACGATATATTTCTCGTGAGTACACGCTTCGACTTCACGGTCGACACAAGGGAAAAGGGACACACGGCTGAACCCTTCTCACGAAAAAACCAAGCAAAGCCGAGTACCGCGGGACGAAAGGTGGGGGGCAACAAAAAACACAACAGCCGCGTCCTGTGTGACGGACGTTCCTCCTGTTCGACCTTGGCTGATACTTCAAACACAGAAACAACGTAACGTGTGTAGACTGGCGCCAGGACAAAAGGGAATACACTCCCCACAAAGGAACTTCCAAACGGGCGGGTGGGCGGGCGGGCGGGCGGGGGGGGGGAGGGGGGGAGGTACCTCAGTCGCATCCTCTGCGTCGCTCCCGCTTGCGCTGTCGTCGTCCATGCCATCGCCAGACCGCTTATCCCTCCACTCTTGAAGGGCCTTGAACTCGTTGTAATGGGCTTCCCGGTGCTGCTTGAACTTCCTCGCCTTCTCCTGATTAACACAACGGCAGTCGTTTGAAAAAAAAGACACATGAAAAAAAAAAAACTGTAGAAGGAGAACACCCGAAAGACGTATGTATACCAACGCGTGGCGGGACAACTGGATCAAGGTCAGAAGCATCAATGCTACTCCTGTGAAGAGAACAAGCACGCTTGAGGGCGCGACGTTGATTACGTTTAGTCGTCTGTTGTCTCGACCGACAGCACTGCACACGCTTTCGCAGAAACATTCGTTGCCCTTCGGCAAGCTCCGAGTATCACGAGACCTTCTATCCAACCAACCCGACCTATCCTTCCGGTCCATCCTGAAAAATCAGATTCAAAAAATCTTCCGCTTCCTGTCACGAAAAAGCAACTGAGAGGAAACTTCCCGCACACCGGCTTCTCAACACATGCGGCTGCTTCGCCGTCCGACATACGAACAAAAAAAGAAAGCAACGAGAGTTCCACCGCCGGCGAGACCAACTAACTCTTAATTGACACTTCACGTCTCTCTAGATAGCCCTCCATGCTACGCACGAGCTCGCCCTTAACAATACACCCCGCTTCCCAAGAAGCTTTCTTATGCGCGCCCAAAGTCTCGGAGCCTTGTCGGAAACTTCAAGGACACAAACTGGTACCCCCCGCTGGAAAACCAGGAAAGTCTCCAAAGGCTTCATTGTCATGTCCCATGGGAGTTGTTGTTGTTGTTGTTGTTGTCTTCACATTAAAAACCGTTTCGATCTCTCTCTACCCAGTACCTTCGTATGTCCGTACTGATCCAACACTCGACGCGGTCGATTCCCGTGGTCACAGGTTAACTTACCCTAAAAAGGTACACTCAAATAAACTGGCCCCGAGGGGTCCGCAAGTCAATAGAAATCAACGACAGATATTCTGGGATCCTCCGCTCCCTCTTCACGCTATGCGGGGTATCAACTGAGATTAGCAGTCACTATCTATCATGGGCCGGAGAGAAAGAGGCACACTCCCTTGGTTCAATCTTGGTACTTCACAACGCAAGCAGAGACAAGTCCATCTGGCACAGAAAAAGAGAGAAAAAAAGAGAGAAAAAAAGGGACAAAGAGAAAAAAAAGGAGAAAAAATAAAATGGAAACCGTAAGGAGAAGAGAAAATAAATGAAAATAAAATGAAAAAATGAAAAAAAAGGGCGAGGACAAAGAGGGACCAGGCCGAAAATAACAGGAAGTATGAGGCAGAACAAGGCACACGGTGGAGAGACCACTAACGAACAAGCAAACACGCAAACATGGCCACCAACCAGCGATGCATTGTAGTGGTACGAAATCACTACTACTGGGGGGTTGGTGCAATGGTGCAGCGTTGGGGGGGGGGGAATTGGCGAAAAGAAATTCAATCCGGCACGTGTCGTGCCACTCGGTCCGTCTCTTCTCGTTTGCTTTCTTCCCTCGCCGTCTCGTCCGTCTCCTGCCCCCCTCCCGCCCCATTGGTTGTTGGCTTGTGGTTTCGTTTGAGCGCTCGTTGTCGGCTGGCCTCTTCTTCCTTCTCGTGCCAGGAGGTCATGAACCTCTCAGCTCCCTGCAGCACCGCCGCATGCCAGGGTACTCCCCCCTCCACCTTCGCGGCTTCCGTCCACCTTGACTTCGGTGCCGTGTCTTTCGGTACGGGAATTCCGAGACAACTTGGGTCGGTTTTCGTAGATCCGTGGTCGGCCCCGAAGGCGTTCAGGTCGTCGAGCACACACTTCGGCCAGTTCTGTTCCTGTCCCCCCCTACGTGGCTTCTCCCCCCCCGCCAGCTCGCCGAGCATCAGTCGTTTCGGGAGTCGCCCGTCCGGCTGCCTTGCCAGTGCTCCCGCGAACAGTAGGCGTCGTTGTCGGATCGTGGCTTCAACGCTCTGGCATTCGACCCTCTTCAGCGTCTGGGCGTACGAGAGCTGCCGGTAGGTGTCTTTCTTGCGCTTGTACCCGATAACTCGAAGGAGCAGTCGGTGGTATGTCGACCGCAGCGTCTGATAGTGGCCGCTGAGTGGTGACCATGTCATGCAGCCGTACAGCAGTGCCTCCATCGCCTCCGCCTGGAGGAGGCGGATCTTGAGTCGGAATGGCGCTTTCGGTCTGTCGAAGAGCTCCTGGCCATATCGCCTGAGGCACGCCCACGCTCCTCTGCTCCTGTAGCTGATCTCCCGGGTGAGGTCGCCATGTTCGTTGACGAGGCCACCGAGGTACCGGAACTCGGTCGTCTGGGCGTATTTCTGTCCCGCGGCTTCGATAGTCAGTGGTGGAGGAGGAGGCGGGGGGGACTGTGATGTTGCAGTCGGCTTGTCCTTCGCGCGCATCAGGAGCGTCTCCGTCTTCTTCTCCGACACCGTTAGCCCGAACTCTCCGAACACCTCAACGATGATGGTCATCATTCTCGCCAGTCCTTCTGCAGACCTCGATACGACGCCGGCATCATCGGCATACAGCATCCCCCATACTGCCCTCCGTACTCGGTCAAGGGGTGTCTCCTCCCCCCCCCCCGCTTCCGTCTTCCCCTCCTCCAAGCACACCAGATTCCGCAGAACAACATCATCCTCGCTGAATCGGATGACGACGACCTCGAGGACCTCGGCGAAGAAGATGTTGAACAGCAGTGGGGATAGCACACATCCTTGTCGCACACCCTGTGTGACGAAGAACCAGTCCGATAGTTCTCCGTCGTCCATGCGCACCCGGGCCCGCATTCCATCGTGGAATTGGCGGATGACTTTGATTAGCTTCGCGGGAATCCCGGCCCTGGCCAGCACCTTCCATAGCATCTCTCGGTCCACCGAATCATACGCCTTCTTCAAGTCGACGAAGCACATGTAGAGCGGTATTTTCTTTCTCCGCCCCAGCTCCGGGAGGCGACGCACGACAAACAGCATGTCGACGGTGGATCGCCCCGGTCGGAATCCGCACTGTTCCTCCGGGAGGATGTTGTTGGCTTCGCAGAAGGCGCTTAGACGGTTGGTGATGATCTTGATGGGAACCTTGCCTACGTGAGATAGTAGCGAAATCCCTCTGTAGTTGTTACAGTTGGACCGGTCACCCTTCTTGTACAGCACCTTGATGGTTGCGTCCTTCCACTCTTGGGGGATATCTCCTCCGTTCCACACCTTGACGAGGATGGTATGGAGGTGTCTCAGGACAACGGGTTCGTCGTCATCGATCTTGAGCAATTCGGCAGGGAGGGAGTCATGGCCGGGTGCCTTCCAGTTCTTGAGGCCTTTCGCTGCCCGTGCCACCTCCTCGAGATCTGGCACCTCTCCCAACCGTTGACTGTCACGTGTCGCTGGCCGCTGCGTCACTCGTTCGATGATGTCTGGGTTCAGGGTGGGGGATTTGGTGTTGAGTAGGGTGCTGAAGAATCTCGCCCACCGTTGGAGGATGTCGTCCCTGTTCCGGAGCAACACGCCGTTCTCATCCGCGACGAACTGCTGTCCCCCCGCTTGTCTCCCGATGAGGCCCACTGATCTCTTGAGGTGTTGGTACAGTCCTCTCATGTCGCGATCTTTGTAGATTGCTTCGAGTTCAGTCACATATCCGTCCAGGTAGGCATAAATGCCCGTTTCGACTGCTGTAGCCACTCCCTTACACGCTGCTTTGAGAGTTCTCCACGTTGCTGAGTTCCAGTTGCCCCTCATCGCCCGGCGCGCTTCCCGCCGTGTGGTAAGGGCCTCCTCCAGCGCTGCTCTCGTCTCTGGGGTCTCACACCACCCCTGCGTGCGACGTCTCCGCGGTTCCTCCCCTAGGGTCGTCCGTGCTGCTTCGAGGAGAGCATTGGTAAAGTCGGTCACCAATTCCGCGGCGGTGGTTGTTCGTTCGTCCAGTCGTGTGTCGAGGTTGAGGAGGAACCGATCAGTCACCGCACCTCGTGCTGTTTCGAACTGCAATTCCCGTCGGTTGAATTGCTGCTGTTTCGGTTTAGTCCGGACTGCACGGTTGTGGGCAAGCCTGCCACCGAGGTTGACGGTGGCTACTACCATGTTGTGGTCTGAGTCTGCTTTGACTGGGCGAACCGGCTGGGGGGTGACAACCACGTTCGAAACTCGGCCGTGATGTGCCTGCCTTGTCAGGATGTAGTCAAGTCGCTTGCAATCGTTTCCCGACACACCGTTGTATGTGTGCCATATTCCGCCCTTGCGTGTCTCGAAGAACGTGTTCGTGAGAGCTAGCCTGTTTTCCGTTGCGAAATTCAACAGTAGCATGCCATTGTCGTTGAGCTCATCACGCCCGTACATTCCTATTACCCTTCCGTCCCCTCCGTCCAACCTATCTCCCGTCCGCGCGTTGGCATCCAATAGAACATACACACATTCTTTGGAAGGGATCCTCCGCACGAGACTGTCAAGTTTTCCCCAGAACGCGCGCTTGCTGTCGGCGGTTGAAGGTTCGGTTGGAGCATACGCGGCTACGAAGTTGACCGCTCCACGGTGGCCTGCCAACAGAAACCTCATGGCCATAAGGCGTTCGTCGATAAACTCCGTAGTGAACGTGGATGTCTTGCACAGTGACTCTTTGACGGCTATCCCCACACCATGGACTCCACCAGTCTCCGTGCCACAGCAGAACACCCGGATACCCGCTGCTGCAAATTCCGTTCGACCTGCCCTCCGTGTCTCCTGCATTCCTACCACCGATACGTTTTGTCTCGCTGCCTCGTGTAGAATGCTGTAGGCTCGCCCGTATCCATTGGCCCCGTTTACAGCCAAAGTCCGCACATTCCAGGTTGCTACCCTAAGAAGTTGACCCTGCTGTCTCTTTCGCGCGGCGCGCGCTGCTCTCTTAGCTAGCCTACGCGCCGCCCGACCCCTCCTTCTCCTCCATCTCCCCCTCTTTTTTTGTTTTTTTGCTATTTTTTTGCGAACACTCGGGCTAATGTAATAGTTATCCCGGTTCTTCCCTTGTTTCCCATAGAGTTGTCTTCTTGTCCCGGAGCGGTGTGGCCTTCCATCTCTGGACTCTCTCCTTTCCTCTCTCTGGGGCATACCCCCACGGCGTGCGGTCACTCCGCCACCCTCACCGTGCTCTCTGCTGCTGCATAACCCCGGTGTCCAAGCCGGGGCGTTAGGATCCAGCCTCATTTTGCAGCTACCAAAGCTGGCGGTTCACGAGCTACCCCGATCTCACGACAGCAGTAACTCCCAACCGCCAAACTCAGGATCCCCCTCTCAACAGTGCTAGGGACCGTATATCCGTCTTTGCTGGGTGGTCTTTCGAGGTCTAGATCCACTTGCGGAACCTCGGCCTACCCCAGGGACGGGGGGGGCAGGCCGGGGAGGCAGTGTTACCCTCTCCTGATGACAGTAGAACAGACAAGGGAGTGACGAGACTGGATGTTGGGGGCGAGGCCACCCATCATCCTGGCCTAGCCCAAATCGCCAACAGGGAATATCCTGGCAAAACCAAGAAAAAATGGACGCTTTTCCATCAATAAGTTCACCCAAACAGCAGTTGTGCTTCCTTTCCCTCGCCTTTCGCTCCGCCCTCAGATACGCACGCCCGAGTCGCACCCACCCATTATCTACTCATCACCATCATACATCAGCCACTACTACCACGTGTGGTACCGTACCGTGCCGTACCGTGCCGTACCGTGCCGTACCGTGCCGTACCGTACCGTACCGTACCGTTTTACCACGTACCGCGCGTGTGTCTGCCCCGTTTTGCTGACACCCCCCGTGTATCGTTTATCCTACATACAAATACCGTCAAACACAAATCGGCACCTCGGCAAAAAAAAAAGGCGTGCTGTAGCGCAGCGAAGGAGCAACGCTTGTTTGTGAGCTTCGAATACAACATAATGTAACCGTCACGTGGTTCGTGGGACGCACACACACACACACCTTGTCCTCGCGCGAGCTTCCCTCCGACACGTCCGAGTCCCACCTGGCCTGCCGCTCTTTCCTCAGCGCCGACTCACTCGGAAGGGCGGCACTAACGTCGGCCATCACCTGTTATTTGTGTGTGTGTGTTTTATTTTGGCACCCGGCCGCAGCTTTTTACGATTCATGGCCGCGCGCGATTGTTGAGAACCCGGCGCGTGGTTTGGTTTGAAATAGAACACATTGCGATGTCTCGTGCGTGTTCTCGTTGTACGGTACAATTTTCGGGATAGCAAAAAAAGGCGCACTCGCGATGAAGAAGCGAGGGTATCAGCATCGCGGCGGTAAGGGAAGAGCACAGAGAGTATAAATCGACGCGTGCGTGCTTCTTGATTGGTCGGATTCCCAGCCCTTCGGTCGCACAACAGAAAAAAAAGTTTCGCCCGCTCCTTGTGTCAAAACGCACACACGCACAAATTGAAAAAAAGAGCTGGATTTCGCACCTCGCTGCGGCTCAAAACGCTACTGGTCCTTCGGTGATACTGCTCTACACTTTGCTGTAGTTTACCTTCAAAATTGATCCTCGCCTATCCCCGCTGCCGCTCCCGCTGCCGCTGCCGCTTCGGCTCCGGCCCGCTCGTTGGGCAGGGCTCCCTGAGGCGGAGCTTGCGGCCGACAGGGACGGCCCCTTACCGTCTGAACGCCGAATCAAAACAAAAAAAGGAAAGCAGCATTGTCATCAATAAAGGTCGGGTTCTGACATTTCCATCACATCACGTCAATAGGACAAGGTCCTTTGCCGCCCGAACGCCAAAAACAACAGAATCCCCATCAACCAACGTCGACAAATTATAAACTATCAGGGTGTTGACATTTCGAAGTCACCCCGGGCAAATACCGAGCAACTACGCATACGACGGAGCGAGAGAGGCAGGCCCAAAGATTTCTAAAACAGTTTGTATGCATACGTGCTTTCGATCGAGTAGGCAATCCAACTTATCTTCTTTCCAGACGCACAAAAGACACAACGGCAAGGAGCAACAAAAAAAGACTTCATAAAGGGGGCAAACAGTAACATGGGCCACGAGACTTTGCCGCCGAGCACCCTGGACGCGAGCCGAACGCGGAACGGAGTACTGTACCTACCTGCGCTCTCGCAGTCTGAGCCCGTTGACGACTCCCCTGAGCCGTAGTGGTAGGGGGTAGAGGGTTCGTCTATCTTTTGCCTGGTCCCTCTTAGCTTGTCGTGCTCCGCGATCGTAGGCTCGTCCCAAGTTATGTGGACTTCGCTGTGTACCAGAACAAAACGTGCACAACAGGGCCGAAAAAAAAAATAGCACGCGTCAAGCGTATTGAAACACCAACCATATCCATGAAAGACGACTGGTGCAGCAATCCATCGGGGGAAGGCCGGGCGGAAACCTGAACCCGGAGAACAGCGGGACAGAGCTGAACGCATACAGGCATCACATTCGTTGTTGGTAAATAGAGCAATACTCTGACGTGCAAGCATATCCTGGTTGCACCTGTTGCGCCCTATCTTTTTGGTTTTGCTCATCTGTGTCCAAGGTAACACCGTACACGAATAAAACTCGGGTGCCAACAAAAAAAGTTGGAGTCCAGCATTCCAAGTAAAATACAGAAAGGTTACCGTAGTCGACCACAAACAAACAGGTTGGGTGCGTTGTGTTGTTGTTTCGGGTATTTTTCATTTTTCAACACTTTCACTTTTGGGGGGGAAGCAGTATACTGAAAAATGACTAGACGGTCTTTCAACGCTCGTTGAGGAGAACTCTATGGCCTGCGGGAGGAAGGAGTGGGAGCGTCGTGCGTCGCCAACATCACCTCTGACGACGAGAACAGCGCGGCTACGAAGAACATAAAATCGGGTTCACATCGACAGACACACAGACCCTATCCCCAACCCTAACGCTAACCCCAAAGCACGGCATGAATACTTTATTTATCCCATATGTTTGCTTTCATCAATTTTTGTGCGCAGACTACTTGGACTTCCGGAAGGGCGCGCCCAAGCGATTGTTTGTAGCATGATGCAGAAAATAGATATCGTTGTTGTTGAGGTTCCTCTGCACACCATTCCCCCGCACACACCCGGACGTCGCGCCCCTCCGTAGAGAGAAAAATCACAATTTACAGATGTGAAGGAGTTCGTATAATAAAGCCCACGTTCATGATGATGCATTTTAGAAATGTACGGAGTGGACGCTTGGCGAATGTCTGCAATCCAAATCTCAACCTTTCATCTTACATTTTAGGATAGGCGGTATGTACCCGAGGAAAAAAGACGCATGCCCCCATGTTCAGTACGTGTGCTTCTTGACATGGTACAGCACTAGCCGTAAAGATATGAGATTTGTAGCTATTCTATTCGGTCGTGTCACCGAACGAGGGTGGGGATAGGCAGGGCTCGCGGTAGAGAGAGGTCCCAGGGAGAGACACTTTCGCTTGCTTTCATCTCGACCGGGTGCAAACATGGAACACTGACAACGAAAGAGAAAAGTCCGCCGCGGGTCGATGCATGGAGGCTGAATCTCGAAAAATGAATCTACGTGTGCATATATATCCCCGTTAGTTTTTTTTGGGGGAGAATTGACAAAGCGGGGTCTTTTTTCGTGGTTCCAAATTGCGTCCATGGGAGGAATTTTTGTGGCGTCAATTTTTTTGTTCTTTCGATTCCTAGAAAGGTGTAAGGGGTAGTTGGCTTGTGACTTATGACCATGGAAGGAAGGTGTCCGCGTCAGCTGGACCGGTACGGACATTAGAAGGTACTCCCCGGTAGAGTTCCAAGGAGGGTCGGAGGCCGACACCACCGAGATGGTCGAGGTGGTTTCGTTCTCACCCATCCCGCACTGTTTAACACAGGTAGGTCAAGTCAAGCCAGAAATGAAAACGGGATCCGTTGACGAAGGAGGAGCGAATATCCGTTGAAACAGGAGCAGCGAGCGCCGTTGCTCAGACAACACCACCAACAACAACAACAACAACAACAACAACAACAACAACAACAACAACACAACAACAAGGGATGCATGTTATGTAGCCAGCACCACACCGGCTCTATACAAAGGCCACGGCTGAACCGCTACAAAGGTATAGTTACCCGCGTAAACGTACGTGTATGTAGCTTGGTCCATGCAAAGGGTTTCATCAACAACAGATGACGACGAAGGAACAGGGGGGGGAGAGACGAAAGCGTCGCTCGGCACGCAGACGCGCATGGAATGTTCAGCAGCAGTAGAGTCCGTCTGGTTAAAATTTGCCACCATCCCCGAGCATCCAAGCGTTATCTAGTGGTATATTTCTTGAACGACTGGCGTACCCCCTGGTGATATATAATACCATGGTATATCGTAAGAAAGCTCTGTTTCAAGCGAATCATGGTCGAGGGTGGGGTCCATTTTTTTTTTAGACCGGTTTTGGGCGTATAGCGCCGAGAAGGTTAGATCGGCCCAACAAGATTTTTCTTTTTGCTGAGTTTTTGTGAAGAAATGGATAAAAAAGCTTCTTTCAGTCGACTTTAGGAGGTGGATTTATGCGGAGTTTCGCATCGATAGATTTTGAAAAATTCAACGGATTCAGGCGAATTGGGCCTGCAGCGAGGACAAGTTTTTTGGCTTTTCTCCAAAAAAATGTTTTGAGCGACATTGGCCCGAGCAGCATTTTTTTACCGAATTATTATTTTCGACATCCCCACTACACGTTTTATTTTAATGTTTTTTAACCATTGTCTAGTGCTCGTTACAGGGAGTTCAAAACACTCTTTGGTTTTCTTCAGCTCGTTGGCATTCGCTCAAAAATCGATACTAACATTGAGATGTATCGTTCCAATTTTTACACATCACTTGGTAAGTGTGGGCCAGGACAAAAGTCGTGGGACACAATATTAGTTCATAGATTGTGATGCCTTATGCCCACGCGGTCATGAAACACGTTGTTTTATTGCCTAAGGCTGACTCTTATGGCTCCCCATAGTTGGCCCGACGGATTTTTTTGGACGGGCATACCCCCCCCCCTGATTTCGACCAAAAGACAGACCTCTCAGCACATCACCACAGAGTTCTCCCTCCATGATTGTCGGCTCGTCACCAGAACTTGAAGGCTGTACGCACCACACCTGTAGGCGTCTTTGAAGCTAGTGGTGACTGCTGTTGGGTCTGTGCGTGCTGAGAAATGTCAATCCATGTGAGCAAAAGTAAGAATCCGTGTGGAGAATCCGTCGAGGATTCTATACGATAGTTTGGGACATTTCTCAGCACACACAGACCCCACAGCAGTCACCACTAGCTTCAAAGACGCCTACAGGTGTGGTGCGTACAGCCTTCAAGTTCTGGTGACGACCCGACAATCATGGAGGGAGAACTCTGTGGTGATGTGGTGAGAGGTCTGTCTTTTGGTCGAAATCAGGGGGGGGGGGGTATGCCCGTCCAAAAAAATCCGTCGGGCCAACTATGGGGAGCCGTAAGAGTCAGCCTAACTCTCAAAAGTAAGCGAGAAAAAGTCTGGGAAATCGTAGACATACAGGTACTTTCTGACGCTATGAATCCATTGCTAATCTGTCTCAGACTCTTTTCTATGATAGAGATGGTTTCGTTGTGTCATATTAAGAAAAAAAAAAAAAAAGTGGGGGTCCGAGGGTTGCAAAATTAAAGTTCAACCGGATGGACTATACATAACTGGCATCACCTTCCAATCTTCAACTCCTTATTTATCAGATAGCAGGCATCCTTAGTCCGTAGTCTAGTCTACTTGGTTGCAACAGCCTATCGCCTATGGCCTTCTGGGAGCCCACGCGGCAGCTACAGTAGTACAGTGGGGGGCCCTCTATAGTGCCGGTACGTGCGCAGGGCGTTCACCGGCACTATAGCGGGCACCGGCACAACTGGGAATAGTGCCTCAATAGTGCCAAACGGCACTATTCGGGTGATCGATATCCCTCAGTAGTGCCGGTCTGGCACTACTGAGGCACTGCTGTTTGAGTTCATGGTGTATCGCTTACCATTTGCGAGGCCAACAGAGTAGCATGTGGATCGAGTGTGGTGAATATACTTTGTGGGCGGCAGGGGCAGCCTTTTCTGAGACAAACGTGGGTTCCACTCTGATAGCTGAGTTTGCCGCGAAACCATTCCCACATGCACGCGCAGAATTCACCTTCGGAGCCAAACCCCGTGTACAGCTCCCGTCCGTGCAACTTAGTATACTTGAAAAAATATCACGTTCCTCGCTGCCTCCCTACGATGTTGCGTGATGAGACACGCCAACAAAACCAATAAACGCGCCAGCAACGAAGCGGACAAAAATAAAACAAAACAAAAAGAAAAAAACTGCGGTATAGCTGTCCCCCCCTCACTCATCAACAAACTCTCTCATGTCTGTCTGGCGCACGCCCTTAGCGGCATGCGCCGCGATCATCGCCATCTTCGCTTTCGATAGGTGGAACGCAGCGTCCCCGTTTCCACTCTCCCGCGCGGCCACCTCCAGGACGCCGAAGTGAGAAGACAGTTCACCGTAAGCCGGTGGGGCGCGGCGGCCGCCCCCCGTGTCCTCATGTAGCTGGGTACTTCGCGCAAAGGCTCCTGACTTCCTCCATGCCCTTCTCGATGGCCGCTGGGTCGACACTACCAGCCTCGCCATGAAGTCTCGCACTCAGCACCTTGTTGCGCTTCACGAAGTTCTTGGCCCACTTTTCACCGGCCTTGAAGTCCTCGACCCTCGCCCTCACTGCTGCAGAAGTAGCGGGCTCAGCGAGCAGGGTTGCCACGGTGGAACGGCCGAAGCTTCGAAGTACGTCCCGTGTGACGGGCATCTTGGCCTTCCGGACTTTATCGAGCAGATCAATAACTATCTCATCCACCTGCCGGCGAAAAAGAGTATACAATGCAGAGGTTCAAGCGACCAACGGTTAGTTTCAAACGTAAGCATCTACGCTGCGCGGCGCAGATACGAGGGACGACGCCGCGGTACACCGTAAACAAAGCTGATGTTTTTTAAGTGCCACTACACCCGGAAAGAAAAAATTGCGGGAGGGAAAAGGGAAAGTTGCGAGGAGACGCTCGTACAGGCTACATCTGCTTACATCTGCTTGTTTGTTTTGAAAAAAAAGCGGGTGCGAATATGTACACAACAGTGCTCTTTCAATTTCAAGGACAAATAATCGGAAGGTCTATGAGTGTGGACATCGAGGACCTCAAAGGCCAAAGACATAACAAAAAAAGGCAAAGAGAAAGAAAAAAAGGAGGTGACATGAAAAAAAAAAACACGATATGATACATACGAAAAGACGAAAAGGGAAAGGCAAAGAAACAAGGAAGGGCAAAAAAAAAAAAGGTACAGCAGTAGAAATCGGCGACATGAGGGCATTTTTGAAAATGGGGGGGAAAAACAACGTTCGAGAGGAAATTGCTAGGCATGTCGTGTACTCTACCTACCTCCGGAAAGTCTCCTCTGCGTGCGGTTTTCTGGCTTCCGTCGCCTGCAGCTGCCTTAGCCTCCACTTCCTTCCGTTCAGCTTTCACCTTGCGGACCAGCCGTTCCGAGCACTTAAAGCGATCTGCTATCTGCTCATGAGAAATCTTGGCATCCAGCAGCTTGAGGACCTCAACCTTGTCAGCGTTGCTCAGCCGCGCACGAGAAGCCTTCTTCCCCCCCCCTTTCTCTGTCGGACGTTTAGATGGTCCCGCCCCAGCATCAACCCCAGCTGCGGTCGCTTTGCGCTTGCCAGTCTTAGCAGCGACGCAAGAACTGCAGATGCGGGATGTTTCGAAGTCACCCTCCACGCTGCCGCAAGTGCCATGGAGCCGCCCGCCACATCCTCCCTTGCAGACGTGGCCATGAGGGGCCTTCGGCGTTCTGTTCTGTTGAAGGCACAGTTCACCTTCCGCACACGGCATGGTGCGCCTCTGCGTAGAGCTGTGTTGGACTGCAGCAGCACGGTGTCTGTATTTTGGGAGTGTGGTGGTGTGTGTGCGTGCGTGTGTGAACCGGCACTATTGCGGGCTGACGTGGTGCCCAACCGGCACTATACCAGGCCCGCCCTCAATAGTGCCGTTTGGCACTATTGAGGGCGCTTTCTGTGTGGAGAGATTTTACCGGCACTATACCGGCAGTTGGCACTATTCAACCGGCACTATAGAGGGCCCCCCACTGTACATAGTTCAACTCGCATTTTCAAACAAGTCTATGGCATCGGGCGCGTACGTGTAGGACGGCGGCAGCACAAAGTAGCAGTTCCCGAGAGGGCACGACTACTGCTGCTAGCTGAGACGAGACTCTCATGCTCACACACGCTTTCACGAACCTGACGAAGCCGGAAAGAGCGACACCATCGCAAGCAACCGCCAGAACCAACAGAAGCGGGTGCGCACGCTGAGCGCTAAGCAAGCTTCGTGGGCGATGAAACAAATGGTGGTGTGTTCTGGCTGCCTCGCTCGCAGCACAGAGACGGCAGACAAAATCGCGGAAAATCCAGCGCAACCAACGTCATCCTCACCGTGCTGGTTGAGTCCACCCACCTTCTCTTGCGATCCTGGGAGCGAGGCCTGGCTTCCGGTGGCCCCTTCCCTTTTCCTACGCCTTTGTCCATGTTCAAAAGCAATGCTAGTACTGCTGTAAGGGCAGAAATAACAGATCAGGAACAGCTTGTTGTATGGGGCACAGCGATACAGCGACCGCAGCGAGAAGTGGCCACGCAGAGAAGAGGAGAACCATCGGGGACACGTCCTTTCTTATCAGTGGTGACCCTGGCCCGTTCCAGCAGCACAGCAAAAGGTGCAGGTGGGGTGTGCAGCTGCTCCCACACGTTCCCTCTCACAGCACATACACACGTCTGTGTCGCTAGGGCTGGACAGAAGGATGTCGACGACACCTGCTACCGATCGCAAGGTATATCCTCTGACATGCGTACTAAATAACGAGCAGTGGGAGCTCGACAAGGAAGGACGTTGATTTTTTGCAGCTGATTTTTTGTTCGCTCTCCCCGGTTGATCGATCATGCGTGTTGCGAGCGAGAGCAAGGGTAAAGGATACAAGAAGGATTGGACTGAAACGGAGCCGCAATCTGCACACAGCAGTGATCGGATCCGCTCCACATTCTACAATCTGTTCACATTACATATCAAGAGTTTTCGAAATTATAATTTTGGATGCGCACTGCTCTCTGTTGTCACCCCGCGCAACATGAATCTTGTGTGACCGCCACCCGACCGCGCGCCAGCCGAAGACGGGAGTGCTAAATATCAATACTCGTAACAACTTGCAGATGTACAGCTTGCAGAGATGTTTCTGGAGCATTTGAGCGTACGGTTTTCTACACGCCTACACACGACTTCGCGTGTACACAAACATGTTCTTCAGCATGATTCAGTCTCTCTTCCGATTGTCAAAGTTACTCCGCACCGGGTTGCATTTTCTTAACGGTGGGTTGTAGGCATCCTATGGGTGGTGAGATGCCGTTATTATTGTGATTAAGACCAAGAGCTCTGCCACACTCTAGAGAGAAGGGGCTTGAGGCAGGGAGGATCCCAACTGGAAGTCAATTGGCCCCTTTTGCAATTTCTTCGGGTGACGACGTGATACACACCATTTCACTTGGTCGCGAATTGTCCCTTGGTCTATAGATGAAGGAGCCCCAGCTGTTGGAAGTAGCTGGGTCCTAGGGTCAAGAAAGAGGTACGGCCACTTGATGCGTTGCCTCCACGATTGTGTAGAAATGGGATGTTGCTTGAACTGATAAGAGAGAGAGAGAGAGGTCTGGTTGAGGTGGGGATCCACCTAGCAACCAAGGGGCCACGCAGATAGCTGAGTCTGATTAGTCCTCAGAGGTATACCTCCCGGCTATCCCACATCCTTTCTAGACCAAGATATACCCTATCTATGCCCTGCAGCAACACTCCTTAACCCTTGTCTATCCAAGTTTCCAGAAAATCTCCCAAATATGCCGCACAGCTTGCCGATACCCAGGAACGTTTTGGCGTATGTTACACCCTGGACCGATTTTCAAAGCTCGATTACGCCACGACGAAGAACACGCGTAAACGAAACGATACATTTTCGGAAAGCTCTCGACAAGGCAGCTTCAACGACGCCGTTTTCGGCCCTGTGACTCTCTCTGCTGTCGAGAAATCGAGCTTTGAAAATCGGTCCAGGGGGTGTGTTATCTTGTGTCCTACGGTAGTTAACGTTGTCCCCGTGTGGCCTTCCGCCTGCGTGACCGCGGCTGATTCATCCAGCAACTGCTGCACCGAAAGATAGATGTAAAGCTGAGGACCAAATAATCGAAATCATGTGGTAGACTATGTCAGCGACAAGTAAGCTTGGCTATGAATATAGAATATCTATCCAGGCATAAGAAGTATCTCACTACGGGGGGTATAACTTTGCCACCTGAATGCACCACGAAACGTTGAGATTTCCGTGAACGCACTCCAGGACTCACCCACACAGATAGGTGTGGCCGTTTGGTTGATGGCATGTTTATCATCATGGTAGTCAAAGTGTCGCAACTTGGTCCCAGGGGCGCCTTACTCTACCGAATACCATCTGCTGCTAAGCGCTGCGGTGTTTCGGCTCTTCTTCCTTTGGACTCGCCGTGTTTCTGTGTGCGTTTCTCCACCGACAAGCCGGGGGGCGGTTTTGGTAAAGACTTGGCCAACGTTCTCTTCTGCGGGCTCCTGGCGCAGGGCGTGGCGTACCCGCTCGGACTGGACGCTGCCGCCGCTCTCGCCATGGGAATACAGGCACGTTCCAGCCCGCCTTGCAAGTGCCGTGATGCGCTTGTTGAGCAGCACTTTGTTGTCGTTGTGTTTTTTGGGTCCGAGTACGCTGATACTCGTTTCTGCTGAGACTGCTGTCTGTCCACGCCCACCGCGTGCGCCGACCTGAAGAACGATCCCCGTCACGACGAAACGAAACAGATCCTCGCGTGGGTACCGTCGGCGTTGGCGCAAAACGAGACCTTTTACGACTTCACAGGTGATTTTTTTTTCGGAGTGTCCACGCCAGTAGGCTGTATACTGCACAGCAGTATTGGAAAGAAAACTATCTCGAGAGAGAGAATCGAACGCACAACTTGCTACTATTCAGCTACAACAGTATTGGTCCCGGTATAGTGCCGGTCGAATAGGGCTGGTGAAATCGTCTGGCAAACGTGGAATATCAAGTTGTTTTCATACTCTGAAAATTGTCGGTTGCCCGCTATAATGCCGGTGATCTCGGCTGGATCGCACCGGCATCATACCGGGACCACTACTCTGTAAACAGCGCTAGCGCTTCTATTGCCCACTAAATAAATTGACCATCAGGGCGATCGGCAAAAAAAAATCTCGACACTCGGATTCGAACCAAGGACCAACAGATCACCACGGTTTACCACTACAGTCTGTCGCTCTACCGGGCTGAGCTATGTCGAGATGTGTGGTTGGGGAGTATTTCGATACTTCAATCAGTCAAGCCACCATTCCCTCCACCCCCTCCAGTACCTACCTCCCTTCTCTAGGCTTCGACCCATGCACCCATGTCTCGTGTCTGGTCACTTCTGGTGTGTGCATGTGCGTGCTTGGGTCGATGTCTCGCTCTCATTACTTGCTGATTGACGCGAAAAAATGTAGACCGACTCTTGATGATCGCCGGCATGCATTATTTTGTGTGACTTGTTCTTGGGTGTTTCCCTCAAGAGCATGCGCTTCCTAGATGTTTCAAGCATTTCCAAGAACTTGTTGGCTAGTCTCAACTCCGCTTTTGCGGCTGTGCTGACGCGGTCCGTCTTTTCTGCCTGCCGCCATCATCCCACCTCCCTGTTTCAATCCGGCTTTATCCCTTGACCCAACGACCTCCTCGGCGACAGGCATGCTGACCTTCATGGCAGTGACAACTTTCAGCACGTTGGGCTTCCTGCTGCGTTTTTTCGATGGGGAGATGGCCGCAATGTTCGGGGAAGGATCCTCGCCGGCGATGGAGCACCCGCTCTCGATCGCCACTGCAGCCCCCAGGCATCTCGTCGCCACGGCTCTGGTCTTGACCTGGACCACAAGGTTAGTTAGCCTCGCGGCATCTCGCGTGCTTGCACTTGATGCAGCTAGCTGCCCCCAAGCTTGTGTCGCCCCAAAGCGGGCCTTTTGTTGCTCGAACCAGAGACCCGATGACTGTTTTGTGGAAAAATTAGGGCCCGCCTTCCCACCCCGTTTGCTGTTGCGACGCGCGGCGCCGACCTGATGGCGCCGCCGCGATATGTAGCGCTTCTGATCCGCGTCCTCGACAACCAACGCGAGTGCTTGCGTGCTGTGGGAAAAGCATTTCCGGCATGCGGCCGGACTCACTTGTTGGCTCGCGTTGACTCTTTCCTCCTCTATAATTTTTTTCTCTTATTCTCGTTTCTTGTTAGTGGTTGGTGCCACCGCCACAGGTGGCTTTGAGACGCGTTCATTCTCGGTGGAACACGTAGTGCGGCCACGCCCCGAATACAGCGGATACCTTCCAAGCGGGGTTATTTTCCTTTCGGCTTCCATTTCGGCCGTTTGTGTGTCCCTTTGGGTAGCCTGGGAACCTTTCGAATACTCTGTTTTCCCAACGCGGGGTATTTTTATCGTTTTCCCCGAAGAGGCGTGTTTCTTGGAGTTGTTTCTTCGTAGCGCCCAAGTGCTCTTTGTCGCGATACGCCAGCCCCCTTTTTAGTATAGCGCAAAAGAAGGCACTATGGTGCCTACCATCCGCTGCCTCTTTACGCATAGTACGAGGCGTTTTTTTGTAGCCGTCGAATACCTTCATCGCGTATGGCACGAAGCACGCGTTTTTTGTAACCGTCGGCTGCCTCCTTCTTCAAGTGCAGAAAGAAAGGGAGGCATTTCGGTAACGGTCGACTCGTCGTCTTTCGTGTTCCTCTTGTCCCGTTCGGGTGTTGTCCCCTTATCGCTCGGCCAGGCTCGGAACCTTTCTGTTCGCGAGGATACGGCGGGACGGACACGACTCCAGGTTCAACGGGGTGCGGGACAGGCCTCTGAAGTTTCTCGTCTTCTGGTTTGTGCAGGCGAGTCACTCCAAACGACCAACAACAACGCCGGACATAGAGCACTACCTGCAAGCACGACCAGATACCATACTGCGCAGAAGCATTGGCTGTTACTGGAGCGGCCTGCTAAATAGCGTGTTTTCTGTCCCAGCAGTGTGCGTGTGTTGTGGCCGTTGTGCTTGTTGATCAGGTCTTGGTTCAGTCCTACATTTTCCCGTCCTTTTCTTTTATTTTCCCGTTTGTCTTCACTGTGTTGATTGTAGTCGTCGACGGCGGGAGAGTCGGGCACCTCAACGTGCCGCCTTTCCCCTATTTTAGCGTAGTTTAAGCAGGCGCCTCCTTTCTTTGCGCGTCGAAAGGCGTCGCTGTCGGTTGTTCTCGTGTCGGTGTCGACGATGCGTCATGATTTTCCTGCCCGTTTGATGGGCCGGAGACAAATTGCAATACATACACGTGATGTCGTTGACAAGGTACTGTAGCGTGATCTGCGTTGTTTCGTCCACCCGGTCGTAGATGTACCCCCCCCCCCCCAAACATCAAACCCCTGTTCTCTCTGGCCGAACCAGTGGGTGGGCTTTGGGTTTCCCTATCGGGGGGAGGGCTCGTCCAACAACGAAAGCTGTCGTGTTGGGGCAACGACGTGTGCGTTCTTCCACCTGCCCGGATTTTCTCCTCCTGATTGCGTTGCACGAGGACGTGTTTCCGTCTCCGCCGCGTCTCCCTGGCTCAACCCGCCCTTCTTCCCATCGCCCTTTTTTATTCGTTTTTTTATCGTAAACGACAGGGGATATGGGTATTTTTCACCTCTTTGCCGATGCTCGTGCTACACAAGGTCGACCCTAGAGGTACATAGGCGTTGAGAAGAAGAATCATCGACCGGACGGACCCGCTTGGAATTCTCTGAGGAATGTTCTCGGAGTGCGTCGAGAGTGTTTTAGTTTCAAGTGTCGCGCCGTTTTGGGTGCTTGCGGCTGAAGATATACCCGAATCGAATCGAACCACGAGCTTTTGGATACCTGTGGGCTTGTCCTGGTGATGTCTGCCGGAGTCTGTTGCCTAGCCTTCACCCGTAAGCATAATCAGGGAAAGATGAGGTGTCTCGACGTCGTCATCCGACTTGGGATTCGCACACTTCTAGAAAAAAACAGCCGGAGGAAGAGAGGAGTTCCATGCCCGCGTGCGATGCTGCCGACGACAGGGGAGCACGGGCGACACGGCAACGATATGAACAATGCCAGAAACGCTCGACAAACTAACGGGGACGTCTCTTTGCCGAACAGGTGGCATGGGGAACATTCTCGCCCAAGACGCGTTCGGGCTGGCCGTGTGGGCGACCGGCTTTGCGCTAGAGGTGCGTGCGCGGGATCGGGGAATATCCCGCCCGTGTCATCGCTATTCCTTTAAATTTTTTCATGGGTATGCCTGGGCGTGGATTAACTGCTGTGCCGCGTGCCATGTATGATTCCTTGCTTCACGGGATGGCTGTGTTTGCTGTTGCTCTGCGGGTGGTGGACAGGCGGTTGCTTGGTTGATCGGCCGAGAACGGCACCGTTAGACTATGCCGTTGATCGATGACCTCGGTTGCTTGGGTCCGGGAGAATAGTCGCCAGTCAGTTGGCCGCTGGACTCAGGCATGTGCCGCACAATCCAAAGGCTTGTTTGTTGCGCCTGTCCGCGTACGCAGCGTTTCCGGGACCAACGCATCCAGAAATCAGACCACAGCAGTCCAGCAGGACACGCAACGCATCCTTGTGCACAAACCCTCTTCCCGTTCTCGTGCCTGTGTGCGCGTGCGGGACGCCATGCTCCAGGTGGTCGCCGACGGCCAGAAGCGGGCCTTCAAAGCGGACGCCGCAAACGCCGGCAAGTTCATCGACGTCGGCCTTTGGTCCCGCTGCCGGCACCCCAACTACCTCGGGGAGATGGTGAGGGCGCTCGCTAACACCTAACGAACGAGTACTGTAGCAACAAACCGACCTTCAGCGCTGAACAAGTTGTTGTTTTATGCAAGCGAACGGGAAACTATTCAGTAGCCTTGGCGAGGATATTCAGCTTGATTTTGGTAGGGGGTAGGGGGTGGGGTTGGGGGTTAACGTTAGGGATACAACCCCCACTCTCTATTTCACACTAGATTAGTGGTAAAATGCTCGCGAAGGCCGTCCAAACTAAAGTGGTTTGATCCCCCCCCCATCGATCAATCCGGCGGCGGCGGCGGCGGCGGCGGTGTTGCTCCGGCAGACTCTTTGGGCGGGCTTCTTCATCTTCTGCAGCCGCGGCGTGGTCGCGGGCTCCGGGTGGCTTGCCCTCATGGGCCCCCTGTTCGGGGTGAGCAAACTCCGTACCTAATCCATGAAGAAAAGAGGTCATGGTGCTGCCCATGTTTTCGTGCAGGGAGTTCGTGTGTGTGACTTCGATCGCAGCTGCTCCCACACCCTGAGAGTTTGCCGGCTTGTTGGAAACAACACGTACAATAACAAGATGCATTTCATTTGTTTTGGAATAGCTTCGTTTGGTCGAGGGCCTTCGGGCCGCGGGGTGTGCACGTGTGCGCGTACATCGCCCAAGCTGCCTGTCCCCCCTCCCGAACGACCTCCAATACCCCCCCCCCACCCCCATACACAGGATGATCGCACCAATTTGTGTTCAAAGCACCCTCGAGGCAGTGACACAGTGCTTATAACTGTCTCTGGAAGTGGAAGCACGAGAAAGTAAATCAATTCCTTCGTAGCTGTCATCCGCATGCAAGGAAGTAAGCACCAGAATGCCGAACGCCCTTAACAGGATGCAGCGTACCCTCCATGCAACTCGCCAAAATACCTCAAGGCGCTTCGCGCTCGGTGATACGAGAGCCTGGTCCGGTGAGAACCCGGCGTGCTCCGCCCCTGCTTCGTTTGGATGCGAGGTCAATGGTCTAACGACTACGGCATGCACGACTATGAGTACACTCCCCCTCCACAGGTCAATGGTCCAAAGACAACGGCTACAAGGCTATTTAGTGTACACCCAAACCCACACACACGCGTCTCCAATACCGCCTGATAGGACTGAGTCCCCTCCTTGTATTTCAGAATCAGGACACTGCTGTCGTCCAACTCATGCGCCCCCACCGTCGGTAGAACCCTTTCCCTTTCATTATAAGTGTTCGTGTTTTTCTATCCCGCTACAATACTGACGTGTTTTCATTGGTCAGCCGTTGAACGTGGTCGATGCCAACATGAGAAACACACAGGCATCTCCTGCATGACCCCAACTCTCACATCACATCCCCTCGATCCTTGGTGTCACTTCATCGTAATCCCAACAGACTGCAATTTTGACTTTCGTCAGCACCCCCATGCTGGAGGAAGGAGCGGACAAGAAGTACGGGGGTCACGCGGCGTACCACGAGTACAAGAGAACCACGCCGTCGCTGTTCTTCCGCCTGTGGTAGAATAGAAGACGGGGGCGTGTACATTGTGGATCCCCTCCTGCACAACCAACTTGTTCTTGTTTGTTTGAGATTTTTACTCAGAAAGCCAAATCACACCATAAGACTATAGTCACCGCTGACTGGTCTAATGGTGACTTGTCTAGGGTTTGATTTCGGCTTCTAAATACATTGGTAGTCGTGGAGTCCGAATGACCCGACACTTTCGCTCCGAGATATCAAAACCATCAGGCTAGTCAGCTCTGACTGGTGTACTGCTGTATTGAGCTTGATTTCGGCTTCTACAGGTTGCGCGATGGTGTGGAACGAAGCCGTACACACGTGGACTTACGTTTGTACGTGGGTGGTGAGCAGGAGAGGGACGGTGACTAAAACAGAGAGTCGAGCGTTGTATTATTTTTAATGAATCCACGGACAACCCCTCAGTCCGTGTTCTTCAGGCGTAATTAGTCTTGAGGCGCAGGTTTTTATCCATCTTTTGCACCAAGCAAGAAGGGTGGACGACTCTGGCGGGGTCACTGCCGTGGTTTTGGGAAAGCGCGAACCGAATCGTGGCCCAATGAGGGGGCGTTGCGACGAATGAGGGGGAGGGGTTCTTTACCCTTTGACACGGGATAAGCATGCGTTCTAAGCTTCTGTGGGATTGGTTGGGATTCATTCCCGTTTGAACGCGCCTACAAGTCATCGTGCCTGTTGTCAGCCGGACGTCTGTCTACCCTCAGGTCTTGCCCCTCCCTGTCGTTGCTTCTCGGGTATGGCGCTTTGACGATGCTTTGGGAACATCTCGGCTTCCTTCCCGCTCGTTGTGCGAGCTTACTATAGGCGCACGCTGACAACCTGTGCGCGGATGCAAGGGGGGGAGGCGGTCACTGGCACACAGACGGCACGTTGTGGCGTCGGGTGTGTGTTTGAGCCGTGTTGTTGCGTGCGTGTGTTGCTCCCTGTCTGTCCAGAAACGAAACCCATGGTGAGCGAGATATTTAATTTTGTCTTCACAATACATGGGACGACACGTCATCATCATGAAGAAGCTACCAGGTACAATGTTTTCTCTCCTGGCTCTTCGCGCCCTCTCGCCTCTCTCACTTTTTCAGCAGCGCATCTATATCTTTCGGTGTCTATCAAATTTAGCACAACGTGTTCTCTTCGCCGAACATGAAGACAGACTATAACGCTTGGATCGCTGTCTTCTTGTGTGGAGGCAGGAAACACGCAGATACAGCAGCATTTCTTTGACGTGACGACGGCTTGTTGAAAAACAAAGATAAAACTCCAGTCTACCTCCGTGGTAGCATATGCTTAGAACCGGCGGTAGTGTGTGTTGTGTGCAATTTCGCCCCCATCTATTCTGGCGCCAGTCCCGCAAGTTCAACGTGGAGACGTGGACTCAGGCGGGCGGGAGGTGGCGTAACACCCCACATTGAACATTGAACTCTGCTGTTCGCGCAAGGAAAATTCCTTTTTTTTTTTTTCGTGTTTCGGGGGGACACCGACGACACCCTGCTGCACTCTGCACATCCAGCATCAACGGATCAACGGTGATTTCCACACACTTCCTCTGTCTCCGGACCGAACACAAGGAGCTTCTCCTGGAAAATAAGGCATCGAAGACTACATACACGCCAGCTGGACTTCCCGAGTACGCCTATTGCCTATTGTGGCGTGGTCATCATCATCACGAGACCGATTCTTGAGTGTAAATACAGCAGTACCGTCGCGCGGAGAGAAAGGTGTGCCCTCTGGATGTCGCAGCGAAGATACTAGTGAGAGTGTAGACGTGCAGACAAAGGACGTGGGTATAGGTGTTCACGCTCATGGTGCCCCTGCTGCCTCGTAGCCGTTGACGATCGACTACACCAGACTTGGCATCCCCGCAGTAAACGACCCCACAACCTGCACGAGGCAATCTGAACGGCTATTTCCGTGAACGTGCTCAGTGATCTCTCAACCCCCCCCCCGTGAAACGTTCTTCAGACCCCACTTCGGAAATGCTCTCCCTTCACACACGATACTGAAAGCGACAATGTCAAGCGTTGGACTTAAACTGCGAAGGAGATCCAGCTTACACCAGGCTCCACGCACGCGTTACCGCAACACCAGCACACACGCCGCCGCCCATTGTGTACATTTTTTTGGTTCCGTGTGCTGTAGCGCGGGACTGTTAGGTTGAGGACGGGGGGGCGGCGATTTGGAATTACACAATTGCTACTACAATAAATAATGTAGACAGCTTGGCAGCAGTTGAAGGGTATATATAGTACTGGTCTCATGCAATCCAATGAACACACCTCGGCAACATCCTCAGTGTAAGGACTTTCACAGCCTTGATAAACTCCGGTATCCAGCAGGTGGCACTCAATCTTCAACTTATTGTACTCAGCGTGTAGCATACTCGATGCAAGTCTGCACTACTGCAACGTATCTAACAATGGTGTGTACAGATTGCAACTTTTAGCTGGGAATTCTTCAAGGGAGTTGTTCTTCTCGCGTTCGTTTGCGTAGTTCCCAATGGTTCAATATCGACATGCTAGTACGCGCTTGTCCTCTGGCCGTTGTTCTCCTGCCAAGATATCGCCGTTATTGTTTTCACCTAGTCTACATGTAGATAGACGTGTTGATATACTTGTAGCCTCTATCCACCAGCTTCTCTCCCCTACACTTCAAGGCAAGATGAAACAATTATCTTTCTGTGTCTGTATTTATTATTCCTTAATTATCCACGTTCACAAAATAACCCAGGACAGATCCAAGCCAAATATACATGAATTAGAACCTCCGCTGGCGAGGGAACGATACTCCGAGACAGCTACGAGAGAGACTACGCGCATCTACGGCGATACGATGAAGTTGATCTTGATCCGCAGGTCGGAGCGGCTTCTTGCAACAAACAAGAGGACCACCGAACAAAACGGGATATTTTTTTGTTGCCTGTTTCCAACCCGCCCCACCATTGCCGAAGGCCTCGCCTTGACGACGTGAGGGAGCTCGCTCGATCTAGCTCGGCCATGTGCATTACGCCAGATGAAAACCCGAAGGACTAGCTTCTGAACCTTAGCGTCTTCCGAGACCTCAGCACCCTCTACGCGTGCATGCGCACCATGCCCCCCCCCCCCCCCCCCCTTTTCCGGGCGCCAACCTATTGTCGACGTGTTTTCGTTCCCTGTGCTGATTCGCGTGCAACAGCGAGCAGGTATGAACGCACCGCCCGGCGACGGCCTAGAAGCGGGCAGCTTGCCCCCTTTTCACACGGAGGGAGAACACGACGACCACCACCGCTATCCCGGTTCAGAAGCGATGAGGAAAATGACGGTCAACAAGATTTCCACGTTGCAGGCGCTTACGATCTCTGGTCTGGAGCTCGCGCTTACCTTGGGCAACGCCCTGAAAAAGGAAGCCTTTCAGTTCAGCTCCGGCTCGGACCTGATATTCGGCGGCTCTGCCCTGATCGAGGCCGTTGGGTTCCTGTTCGCGATCTGGATGGCTCTCATCGCTTTGTTTCGCCCGCCGTCAGCCGATAATGCCGTGGGATCCGGGGTGAGGCCGCGCGATGTTGTACATGGACCGTCGTCGGTTCTTGGACATGAACAAGGGATGGCTTGTTTCTTCATCGTCCCACCTGTGGCACTAACTGCTGTCGCTCGCGTTCACCTAACAGTATCACTCCTTTGCGAAGAGCTCCGATCCGAGGGTCGCGCAGAAGGGGTCGGTTCCTCTCCCCCCCAAGCAAGTCCTCCTTTCTGGTGATTCTTGTCCTTTGCGGCTCCTCCATCCTTGTCTGCGCACACATGAGCAACAAACAAGAAGCACGATACCTCAAACGAATTTTCCACCCTCGACACCACGCGAGGTCAACAACCCATGCCCCGCCCTTTCTCTCCCCGTGAGTACAATTGTAGTCCGCCTCCACCACTACGAACAGCCCGTTCCATCCCTCTCCCCCCCCCCCCCAACC